GGGGGGGGGGGGGGGACACTTTCACATTGTTGTGGTAAATGATTTTGCATGCAGGCTGCCTAAGTCATTTGAAATCAAATAGAACTGTTGCTTTTATAACCATGAGTTCTATGGTGAATGTTTAATTAAGACAAGGGAATATCTGAATCCCTGTCACATTCCCCATCCCTCCTCTTGTGTAGAGGCATGCAGAGATACAAGAAATGGATAATGATATACTGTTTTACACCTTTTAACTTCAATTTTTATAGATCTCTTATGACTCCATGATTTTTATATAGTGCCTTTTCGTTTTCTTTCTTTTTTTCTTCCAGGTTGATGATACAGAAGTTATTAGTTTCCTTCTGTCAACAGAAATAATTCCGCTGTGCCTTCGCACTATGGAAATGGGCAGTGAACTGTCAAAAACAGTTGAGTTTCCTGATTATTTTTGAAGTATATTCCTAAAGAGTAGCATTTTGTGTAGATGTGGCTAGTTCTTTCTTGTCTGACAAATGTTCTTGTTACGGCAGGTTGCCACATTTATAGTTCAAAAGATTTTGTTGGATGATATGGGCTTGGACTATATTTGTACTACAGCAGAGCGGTTTTTTGCAGTAGGTCGGGTTTTAGGGAGCATGGTTACAGCACTTGCTGAGCAACCCTCATCACGCCTTTTGAAACATATCATTCGATGTTATCTTCGCTTGTCAGATAATCCAAGGTTTGGTTTTAAAACCCAACTCTTCTTCATAGCTTTGGCTTTTTTCTCTTTTGTTGGATACATTTTCCATTAGGGCTCTAATAATATAAGTTTGTTCTTTGTTGTTTTGTTTTGCAGGGCTTGTGATGCTTTAAGAAATTGCCTTCCAGATACGTTAAGAGAGGCTAACTTTAATAATTTCCTTTGTGTAAGTATCTCTGTTATTGATTCTTTTTGTTTCCTTTTAAGATGCTGATATTGCAGGGTCTAGTTATTTGACAGATAGAGTAAACCGGATGTTTGATTGCCCTGTGGGAGTCCATTTTGATTTGAATTTGATTATGGTATGCATGATGCATAAATACAGGAAGATCCAACTACAAGGAGGTGGCTGCAACAACTGCTGCAAAACGTTGGAGTGAACCGGCTTCCTGCACTACAGGGTGGGGGAGGATTTGATCACATGATGGTGAATTAAATTGAGGGGCCTTTTCGTAGCAAGGCTGCTGCCGCCACGTGTTGTGTTGATGAAGATGGTGACAGCAGCATCATATGCATAAACACTGTTTTATGATCTTAATTAGCTTATTGTAGTTAGTTTTATATCCAAACATTACCTCCTGGGCTGAAAATTGAGCTGTTTTGTAGTTAAAACCTTTCGGGTGAATTTGTTCATTTTGTTTTTGTAATGTAGATTCAAATCAAATGATGTGAAATGCAATACTTAACCTTGGCAGTGTGCACTCAGACTTGTGATGGTCACAAAAATGGCTGTTTCAATGAAACTAGCTCTTCCTTCTCCTCCTACGCTGCTATGCTACATCTTCATTTGTGGTTACTTGAAATGATCCTCCTATCCTTTCCTACTGGCCTTGCGGTGTTTCAATTTTCAAACTTTGATTGTTGTCAATGTCACCAACCAGATGGCCCTTGGCCTGAGCCAGCCAAGTAGAAACTAGTAACTACGTACCGTACGTACACCTTAAAGTAAAACGGGAGTGCCTTTCATTCATTGCCAATCCATTCCAATCGCTATCTTGATTGATTCTTGTGTAATTAGTTAGGTGCCGTAGGTGCTTGCTTACTTGGTTGATTGATTGATTCTTCTGGAATGAGACTTGCGGAAGGAAAACTTTCCAAGTTTCTTTTCGTGGAAGAAAAAAAAAAGGGGCATACGGGTGCACTGCACTCATTGTATCTTTTAAGTCAAGCCAGCCTCTTCGCTTTAATAATTGAAGGAAGAGGGGTTTATTTGTCTGCCATTGCCCAGTGCCCAGTGCCCAGTTCCCAGTGCCCACCCCTATCTTTTGATAGATTTCTTCTCTCTTCCTAAACTTTTTAGTTTCTTTTTTTTTTTCTTCTTCTTCAGCTTTCTGTTATAATGGGAATGAATGAATGAGAGCTACAAACACATGCAGCTGTCCATTCCATTCATATCATAATCATATGCATTCGCTTTCTAAAAGCTAATAATAATAATGCTAGCTACTAACCCATTTACCCGAGCCAAATTGTTTGTAGATATATAAATGCTTCATTTTCTTTATATATATATATATATATAATTTATAATTAATTATATATTGTAGGGGAGCAACATGGCACGGCACGGCAGGCCAAGCCAGTCCAGTCCGGTCAAGGCAAAACTTGCTAGTTTTAATTTGTTTGTTGTAACCATACCATTATTCATTTCGCGCTAGACGCTAACAATGATTTTGTCTCAAATGTGGGAATCAATCAAACTGATCTATATAGTTCAGATATTATTATTAAGTATGAATCAATGATGGTTTCATTTCAACTTGAACAAACTATAAACATATAAAATATCATTTTACAAAAAATAAATAATTAGTAAACATATAAAATATCTGACATGTCACCGACTTTAAAGATAAAAATATATATATAAGACGTAATTAAAAAGGTTAAGGGCTATTACTTACTTTAATAAGTAACCTGAATCATTTTGGAATGGATTGAAAGGGTTGGTCAAAGCTGCTTGTACTACTAACTGATACTGATTTACCAAAAACAAATTCGAATAAATTTATTGGGATGACAATTTTTCATGCGGGCAAGACTCTTCGTGGGGATTCGACCTTTATGGGTTGGATATGAAGTATAAAAAACGAGTATAAGGATGGGTATGGGGAATTTTTTGGTTATGGTGTACGGGGAATATTCTATTAAAGTGATTGTGCTTACTAAGTTTTATATTTCCTATTATTATATTATATATTTATATAATTTATACGAAATTTAAGCCACACTACTTAGGTCTTGTTTGGTATCTTAATAAAAAAAAAGTACACTAAAAAGCTATTATTCTTTTTAAAAACATGAGTTTTCAAATAGTGATTTTAAGATCTAAAAACTTATTTGGTATTGAACTCCAAACTATTTGTAAGATCTAAAAAAAATTGAAATTAACAAAAAAAAGAAAAAAATGTGAGGCATAAACCCTATCAATTTTGGTGGTGTGCAAGAGAGAGAGATGACGACAGAGGGAGGAGAGAGAGAGAGAGAGCGATGATAGAGGGGAGGATACCAACCGAGCCCTTATATATTTAGTTAACTTCCAATCAATATATAAACATTCTTATATTGTCTTATACGTATATATTATATATATTCATTATCTTGCCCTAGTTTTATTTTATTTTTCTTTCAACAAAGTAGGTTTGTATTGATTTTTTCTTCCAGAATGGGATAGGTTGGGAAATTCCCTATATGAATATTGCGAGGGCGAAAGTAGAAATTGGGGAAAAAACCTTAACGGGGATGTGGATGGAAATTACATTCGACCCATTGCCATAATTTAATTGTACAAGAAGATTGAAAAATGTGGTTGATTTGGGTGGGTCCAGTGCAGGGCAAATACCAAATTCAAATAGGCTGATAGGCTGGGCTGGGGGATTGGTTTGGATGCATGGGGTCCATGTTATTAAAAGGTGTAACTAGTACTCTTTACTCTCTCTCTCTCTCTCTCTCTCTCTCTCTCTCTCTCTCCGACAGCTTGCACCTCATTCCATTAAGAAACCTATTTATTTGGATTTGTTGGTTGCCTGTCATGTCATATCACAATGTAAAACTAAATTAGGTTATTATCCTAATTTAGGTCCAAAGTTTGACCACACCACAGAGACAATACGATCATTATGACATTAATTAATACGTACATGCAGAAAAATTCAAACATATGCCTGACAAAATGCATATTCCACTTGGACGGCAGACCGCATGTGGTTGTGGTTTACAGTATACTTTACGAATTTTTTGTCAACAATTTAAACCTATTTAAATCCTTATTCATAGATGATCTTTGCAAAAAGTCTGAAAAATTGAAAAATAATATGTGATAGACCCGACAAGAGTGTTCCTAAAAAATATATAGCGTGTTGTGTTCCCAACCCCATAATTTTCTCATAATCAAGTTTGGCACAACAAAAATGTGGCTGCCTGTGGATTTGGACCACCAAGATACTTGCTACCCTTATGTTAATTATTAATATAATTTTAAGGACGCAGTTGGACCAACAAGGTCCTCTTTTATTTCTGTTAAATATTCATTAAGGTAGGTAGAGTTGGTTGTGGAAATTAAGATAACTTCAAACTTCACCCATACATACCATATACGTATGTACGTACATACGTATCCTCTACTGTTAGATTGTCTTCCTTCACGTACTTTTTCTTATACCTTCATTTGATTAATTTTATTAGGTCAGAAATTCAGTTTTTTTTTTTTGGGTTGAAATTGCCGTGTCATTATTTTATATCAAATAGCTTTAAAAATTTGTACAATTTTATTCGTTGTCAATTAATTTTATGTTGAATGCTCACGTTTTAATTCTAATATGTGATGATTAAAAAAATTATTGATTTTAATTATTGATTCTAAAAATGCGAAATTAGAGTTTGTGATAGTGATGTTACGTACGTGGTTTCGACCGAAAAAGAAGAAGGGGTTGATTACGTGGCGAGTCGAGAGTCAAGATCGAAGAGGGGACAGTAGAAGTGCATTACACCTTAAAGCAGCTAAGGCTTGCCGGCTCTTTCTTTCCTCCGTGGATTGGAACTAGAACTAAAAAGTTACACGTGGTGGGTGTTGGGCTGCCGTAATCACATGCTCTCATTCCCACATTAACATCAGCTCTTGCCTCTTGGCCGTCCAATCCCTATCCAACTGAACTAATTTACTATTTAGATCTTGAATCTCTCTCCATCTCATTTTCTTCTTTCATTATTTTAAGGTGAAGCTAATCACTTTAATATAATTCCTTTAATGGTTCAAATAACCAGATTGCCCTCAGGTTCAACTCACCAAATCCCATACATGCCATTTTGGTTTTTCTTTCTTTTTTACTTCTCTTTTCCCTTCTTTTCTTTTTCTATAAACTCCACGTACTTTAGTTCTTTAACGGTGTGTTTGGATGAGGAAATTTAAAAGTACAAAGGAATTTATAAATGACGGAATTTAAAATGACAGAAATTAATGTTCTATAATTTGTAAAGTTTCTTGTTTGGGTAACAGATTTAAAATACGGAATTTAACATTTATTTGTAAAGTTATCTTTTTAAAAAACTCAATTTCTCTTGGAATTTGAGAAATGACAACTTTTAGATATGATTTAAAGTTGAGATTTAGGACCTCCAAATTCCATGTTTTTGTCCGAACACGAGAATTGGTTCATGTCAATTTAAAAATTCCGACTTTTATCAAAATCCCAAATTTATTTCCCTCGTCCAAACACATTGTAATATACAATATAATACAATTTTGTCCAAAACCATCATATTAATTAACTAATTTATGCATATAAACCATATGCATAAATTCGACGGTCCAATATGTATAGAGAAAAGAAAACAAAAAATTGTATATTTTATACTCATTAGCTAGAGCTAGGGGTTAAGAGGTAAATACAAGTTAATTGTCATATCCCGGGATTGGCTCCGTCGTAGCACGATATTGTCTGCTTTGGGCCCCCCTATCTGCCCTCACGGTTTTGTTTTTGGGAACTCACAATCAACTTCCCAGTGGGTCATCCATCCTGGGATTGCTCTAGTCCCAACTCGCTTAACTTCGGGGTTCCTATGACTTCGAAGCCAGTGAGCCCCCGAAAGGCCTCGTGCTAAATGAAAGTGAGCATGTACATATAAGGCACATCACCTCATCTTCGTTGGTTGATGTGGGATGTTACAATCCACCCCCCCTTAGGGGCCCGACGTCCTCGTCGGCACACCCGCACCACATGACAAAGTGGCTCTGATACCAAATTGTCACATCTCTGGATCGGCTCCGCTGTAGCACGATATTGTCCGCTTTGGGCCCCCCTCTCTGCTCTCACGGTTTTATTTTTGGAAACTCACAATCAACTTCCCAGTGGGTCACCTATCTTGGGATTGCTCTAGTCCCAACTCGTTTAACTTTGGAGTTCCTATGACTCTGAACGGCTCTGTCGTAGCACGATATTGTCTGTTTTGGGCCCCCCTCTCTGCCCTCACGGTTTTGTTTCTGGGAACTCACAATCAACTTCCCAGTGGGTCATCCATCCTGAGATTGCTCTAGTCCCAACTCGCTTAACTTCGGAGTTCCTATGATTTCGAAGCCAGTGAGCCCCCGAAAGGTCTCGTGCTAAATGAAAGTGAGCATGTACATATAAGGCACATCACCCCATCTCCGTTGGTTGATGTGAGATGTTACAATCCACCCTCCTTAGGGGCCCGACGTCCTTTTCTAGATAGATGCAGACATGTACATATAAGGCTCTGTCGTAGC